TCCTTTACAGGGAGGTTCTACTGTATATTTATTATTTTATTTTCAGCAATGATTTTAAGATTTTCCTATAAACCATTATTGACTTTATACTATAAACCTTTATTTACTACTTCAATACTATTAGTTAACATTTCTATTTTACAGTTCACCTAATGTTATTGACCATAATATTTTGCCATATATAAACTCTCTTCTATCAGAATTTGAAACTATTATAGATGCATATTATTCTTTTAAAAATTAAACAATTTTCTCTACTGTCCTTACTGCAATGAAAAATTAATGGGAGGGCCCCCTGGCTCATCAGTGATGAACCCTCCCAGCGGTTTCTCCAGTTTAATCTACCATACCGCTGTTATATTGCATTTTTCGATTTTCCTTTTATAGTGATACTGAAGCTAGACTCTTGGAATGGGTATTTTGTTGTTGTTGTTGTTTCTTATCCCCTTGTGTAAAGATTACACGAATTCCATGAGTTCATGCTCCTCGAGCAGTTTATTCTGCGTGACGGGCGATGTAGCATGCAAATCAACATCTGATCTCATGGAATGGGGTGTAGGGGCGCAGCTTTCATTGATCATGGCACTATGATCCAGGCACACTTTGGTGAAAGTCTGACTTTGCCTGTAGTTTGAGGCCGTTCCTAACATGGAAGCAGACGCCTTTGCTGCCGACTCTAACATGAGTACAGACGCAGCTCCTCCGTATCCCTGGAGTGGGACCCTTGCTGAGGTCTATCAACTGGGTCAGTTGAAGTCAGGATTTTTAAAGAGGTCTACTCCTCTTCTAACAATGCTGCTGTTGGTCCGCGACTGCTTATTTGTCAGAGTTATTCTGCTTGTTTCACAGCTGGCCTTCATATCTGAAGGTCGTTCCCCTATCCGCCACCTGGGGACGCGCCCTATAGCAGTCAGCTCTGCCAAGGGTATGGGTATTTTAAATGAACTATGGACATAAGCTTTGAGGACAGTAGAAATACATATAATTATAAATATATTTTCTTCCTTGTCCATATGCTCACATATTTGACTGAATAAGAGCTAAGTTGTGGCACATCACCTATTTCTGTAGTGTTCTTGAGTTTGTTTTGACACTAAGCAGCAAGAAGTAAATATGGGAAGCTTGAAATTAAAACTGTTTATTTACATAGCCAACATATTACACATTAAAATTTTACACAAATAAATTTACTGGCAATGCGCTTCTTTTAAATATCATCAAATATTGTCTCTACAGACCTTACTGCAATGATATGAGTTATTGAATGAGAGGGCTTGGCTCATCAGTAGTGAACCCTCTCAGCAGTTTCGCCAAATTAATCAGCTAAGAGGGTTCACTACTGATGAGCCAAGCCCTCTCATTCAATAACTCATATCATTGCAGTAAGGTCTGTAGAGATAATATTTGATTATATTTAAAAGAAGCGCATTGCCAGTAAATTTATTTGTGTAAAATTTTAACGATAGATGGCAATTAAATTTAATTTACTAATATTACATTTTGTTATATGTGAATTTTAAATAAATAAGGGTTCAGCTAGGTTCATCCGAGAGACTGGCTTAACGAGACATCCTGACCTTATTCTTACAGCTTGGGTGTTGGTAGTGGTAATGTCTGTGTTGTCTTCATGGGGTCCTTCGAATGGTGGAGTATATTGTTAGTATTGTCCAGTGGAGTCTGCACAGGTGAGGGTGAGGCAGGCTCACTTTCAAATGGAGGAGGTCCACTGTTCTCAATTTCTTCATGATTGTCCATTGGCAAAGTTTGATTTTCTGCTCCACCCTGGACAGGTCTCAAGAAAGCTTAATCTCAATATCCTATCTTGAGATCTCAGTGCATATGATCCAGGGTTTAATTGTTTGACTATAGTTGCAGGAGTCCAAGCTCTATCATGCTCTTTCAAGAAAACTGGTTGATTTTCCTAGAGTTGCTGATGTGATGTAGCATGTATATCACTATAAGATTTTTGTCTTGAGAGGGTGTCCCCAAGAATATCGCTAATTTTCTACAGCACAGACAGTTCTAAAAGATTTTTGATTGGCAATATGGTTCTGGTTCAACGACTATAAATTTGTTACACATGGGAACCTAATCCTTCCCTTGGCATGTTTCGATAGTTCAACAGTGCCATTTGGATATCTTTTTTTCCTCTTACACATTTTCTAAGATTTTTTGCTGTGAGCAAGCCCTTTCTGCTTATCCATTGAATCTAGGGTGTAGAGGGCTAGAGGTTTAGTAAATAAATAACCATTCCTATGAAAATTTTTCAAATTCTTTTGAACTATAGAGTGTGGGTACCATTATCAGTTTCTAGAACCTTTAGTATCTCATGTTGAGAAAACCATTCCTTTAAGTACATTATTGTTTCTTTAGAATTTAATGATTTGAGTTCTTTTAAATCAATATATCCAGAAAAACTATCAGTTATTAGTAAATAATTGTGGTCATTATGCTTGAAAACACCCGATGCTACAATTTTCCAGGGAAGTTTGGGTATTTCTTTATTAATGATTGTTTGTTTTTGGTTATTTCTTGAGTTAGAGATGCAAATCATGCACTTTTTTCCTTGGTTGATGATGTCTCTTGTTATTCCAGGCCAATAAATGGATTCCTCGGCCTTAAGTAGGGTGCCATTAATGCCAATATGTCCTATGTGTAGGCTCCTCAAGACTTTAGCTCTAAGACATCTTGGGATGATAATGCGTAGTCCTTTGAAGATCATGCCTTCATGTAATTTCTTCTCTGAAAGATCAATATAGTCTGCACTCAATTGGAACACTAGACTGGTGTTCGGGCCATCCCTTTATTAGAATTGACTTCATTTGTGACAGTTCTGAAGCAGTTTCTGTTGTGGTCATAATTTCATTCTTCAATAGTTTTTTGAGCATAGGAATACTCAGAAGCACTTCCAAATGCTCATTTTCAAATTTTTCTTCCTCGACACAATCCTGGCTCAGCAAATCAGCAATAAACATCTCTTTGCCTCTAACATATTTTACAATTAGATCATAGAGAGCTGTAATTCCAATAATATTATCTACAAACTGAGGGAAGATTTTCTTAAGCATTTCTTGAAGATGGTCTCAAGAGGTTTATGGTCAATTTCAACTAATATAGGTCTACCATAAATATATTCATGAAACTTTCGGCATCTAAATTTTATTGCCAATGCCTCTTTTTCAAATTGAGGATAGTTGCGTTGGAAGTCAATTAGTGATGCTGAAGCAAAGGCAACAGGACAGTTGTCTTGCATAAGTACAACTCCAATAGCATGCAAACTAACATCAACTGACATTATCAATGCTTTATTTAGATAGAAAAAAAAAAAAAACAACAACTCAATGCCAGTGCCCTCTTTAATACCTTTTTAATTCTTCCAGATCATTATCAAGGGAAGTGTCCCAGTTGCATACTACATTTTTCTTCAGGAGCATCCTCAGGTTACTGGTCCTTTTAAATGTATTAGGTATGTAAATCTGCAAGAACTGTATCATACCAAGCAAGCGCTGAAGCTCTTTCCGGTTTCTAGGTTTCTGGATACATTTATCAAGGGAAGTGTCCCAGTTGCATACTACATTTTTCTTCAGGAGCATCCTCAGGTTACTGGTCCTTTTAAATGTATTAGGTATGTAAATCTGCAAGAACTGTATCATACCAAGCAAGCGCTGAAGCTCTTTCCGGTTTCTAGGTTTCTGGATACATTTATCAAGGGAAGTGTCCCAGTTGCATACTACATTTTTCTTCAGGAGCATCCTCAGGTTACTGGTCCTTTTAAATGTATTAGGTATGTAAATCTGCAAGAACTGTATCATACCAAGCAAGCGCTGAAGCTCTTTCCGGTTTCTAGGTTTCTGGATACATTTATCAAGGGAAGTGTCCCAGTTGCATACTACATTTTTCTTCAGGAGCATCCTCAGGTTACTGGTCCTTTTAAATGTATTAGGTATGTAAATCTGCAAGAACTGTATCATACCAAGCAAGCGCTGAAGCTCTTTCCGGTTTCTAGGTTTCTGGATACATTTATCAAGGGAAGTGTCCCAGTTGCATACTACATTTTTCTTCAGGAGCATCCTCAGGTTACTGGTCCTTTTAAATGTATTAGGTATGTAAATCTGCAAGAACTGTATCATACCAAGCAAGCGCTGAAGCTCTTTCCGGTTTCTAGGTTTCTGGATACATTTATCAAGGGAAGTGTCCCAGTTGCATACTACATTTTTCTTCAGGAGCATCCTCAGGTTACTGGTCCTTTTAAATGTATTAGGTATGTAAATCTGCAAGAACTGTATCATACCAAGCAAGCGCTGAAGCACTTTCCGGTTTCTAGGTTTCTGGATAGCATTTATTGCTTTGACCTTGTCAGGGTCTATTTGTATTCCTACCTTTGATATCAAATGCCCCAAAAATTTAACTTTTTCCTTTTCAAAGACACATTTCTTTTTATTTAATTTGATTCCATTTGATTTAAGAAAGGAAAGAACCTTTTTCTCAATTTATCCAGGTCAGGTGCATGAACCAAGATATCATCCATAGAGTTTTCTACTCCTTAGTAAATCTGTCATTATTTCTGGTGCAGTTTTAATAACAAACCACTCTTGTATAAAGGAGTATCTCCCCCATGGTGTTCATTTGCATAATTACCATTTTTACTATTTAGCAGCTCTCAGTTAAGAGGACACCTCTCCCTAAAGGACACTTTGACTCTGCAATTAGATGTTGTCTTTTATAGGGAGGTTCTACTGTATATAGATTCCGCATGTGTGAATATTGTTCTAGTTGAGCAGTAGAACCTCCATGAGAGGATACTAACGCTAGAGGACACCTCATTACAAATGATAGTTTTCACACATCAAAATTACACCATTTTGAATATCTATTAACTCTTCCCCAGTAAAAGAAACTTTGACTCTGCAACTAGGTCTCCTTTGGAGAGATGTTCTACTGTATCCTCAAATTTATCCATCACATGTGCAACAAGTGAATTCATAGTATTTTATATTGTTGTTCTAGGGGGTCAATGGAAGGATGGTCTAAACCGTTGGTTTTCAACCACTATGACCCGGGTTCAATTCCCGCATTGGACACTTTTTTCTGTTTAAAAAAAAAATGCTCCAATGGCCCCCGATTCTTGCAAAAGTCCAACCCCACCAGCGAGTGCAAGTAACCAAATGGGGGCTCTGGCATATTTGTAAGTGCAAAGTCGAACTGCTATTCACATATGTAGACATGTGGTGCACTTACAGTAAAAGCAATCGCTAACTACCCACCATGATTATCATGGCCTGTACCACGTGTACTAGGAATAAGCAAAAAATATATATATTGATGCTCTTAGCATACACAAATTCCATTCCTATACTAATGAGAACTAAAAAGCCTAAAATGTGTAAAGTTATTTTTATTTTCTTGGTGTAAACTCAGGTATAGCTACTTTCTGATAATAAATTTTTATCTGTGTATACCCAAAGTGGCAACTCTTTAAAATATGCATTTGGTGTTTCTATGGTAGAGTATAAAGTGTATAAAGGTGGTAAAAAGTTGTATCTGTGTCTGTCTTCAATGAAGAAATATCTTTTTATAATTAGAATATCTTTATGTGGATATAAATTTTAGGTGGGACAAAACATGTATGTTTTGAGATGATTTTTATAAATAAAAATTTAATGTGTTTGTGATTAATGTGTTTGTCTCTTTCATATATATTACCACAATATTTGATTTGCCAGGATAACATTTTTGACCATGGAATATATTAATTTAGTCTGGAGAAAGGCCAATTTAAACATTAAGAGAATGGAAAATGCTTAATGATAGAAGTAATGTTGTGAAAATTCAAAACCATTATAGACACAATATTCTTTTTAAAATTAAACAATTTCTACTGCCCTTTATTTATTTATTACCATGATAAGGCACAATTTGGATTATAGATTATAAACACAAGGTAATAAGACCTAATTCAAATAAATAAATAGTGTGTGATGTTTCGGTAACAACATTGTTACCGAAACATCACAAACTATTT